GTTATCGTCCACCTTGCTACTTTTTTTAAAGAGCTTATTCAATCTAGAATACTCTGACCTGTTAGCGTTCGAATTAGGGTCTTTACGCTTAAATTCCTTACGGTTCTTCAATAATTCTTTTGTCTTCTGAGATTGGTGCCTGTCCTTCTTTTTTCGAGGTCTTTGCCCAAGAATTTCCATGGAAACTTGTTGGACAGTTGTCTTGAAGTTGTCCCACATTGATTCCAGGTCAACCTCAGGTTCCAAACAGTCAAATTTGTTTCTCAGAACAACATTGTATTCGGAAACAAGTGAATGATCACGCAGATGCTCAATAGCAGGAATCTCAAGCTTACGTTCCTGCTTCTTTTTCACTGACATAAGCTTCATTCTCAGTCGTGCTCTTACCAAATAGTGATCAGACCCAATGTCAGCCCCCCTACAAACTTTTACATTTAGCAAAGAGCCTCCAAACTTCTTACTGATACAGATGTGGTCTATTTGGTTTACAGTACGACCATTAGGTGATCTCCACGTACCTTTATGTATATCCTTTTGCTGAAACATAGTGCCACCGATGGTAAGTTGGTAGGCAATGCAAAAGTCCAACAATCGGGTACCATTGTCATTTGATGAGCTGTGAAGCGAGTGCCCACCAATGACACCTGACATAGAACTGCAGTCCGATGTGACCTTAGCATTAAGATCACCGAGCAGTAATTTTAAATCATGTCGGGGTAGCTCATCGAATGCACTTGACAACTGCTGGTAGAATTCATCCTTATCATTATCTGTAGCCCCCTCAGTTGGCGCATATGCCACAACAACAGAGATGTTCAGGTGTTGACTATGCAGCCTTGCACTCAACAAACGGTCAGATATTGGTAGATAGGAAATTAATGAATTTTTAATCTTCTTTGAAAGGGTAAGACCGACACCTCGCCTTCTTATACCGTCCATCCTCCCTGAATAAATAAGTAAGGAGCCATTATCCAGTAGCTCTGATCCTGTACCAGGCATATGGGTCTCAGTTATACCCAGCAAGTCCAACTTATACTCAGAGATATTCTCTGATAGCTGGAACAACTGACTTGAACTACTTGTCAGAGATAATACATTCCATGTCCCAAATGTAAGACCTGTTTTAGAATAATTCGCTGGCTGTTTCTTATTAGAGTCGGAGTCCACATGGGTGATCTGTGGAGAAATAAATCTGCTACAATGACGTGTTCTCCCAACACTCATCTGGCCGTAAAGTTCATTCTATTTTAATGGGCGCTTACCATTGGCATTATATTTACATTATATTTTAGCATACTAAGATTTGTCCCTCGCCTAATCACAATGCCGGCCGGACCCAGAAATGGCCACGATTGTCTTACAGTTGTGCCTCACCTTTGTGAACGGGTGATACTCGTAAAATATTTGTTCCATATATTAGGACCGTCGACGAGTCCAACTCGGCGCACGTCCTGGTAGGTTGTAAACCTACAAGCTTTCTGGAAATATAAATTTACCTCGAACTTTTCCCCAAATTAGAGCAATGTTGTTGCTACTGATTATAATCAGAGAATATGATGATTGATGTTTTCAGTCTTACAGTTACAGTGCGGGAAATTATGAAACTATGAGAGGGAGATTTTAAGAAAACCTTGTCATACGTTGTAGACAGTAGACCTGCTGCGTACGAGTGCGCGGCTGTATCGTGGTTTTTGCCACGATACTTAGTAAAACGACACTGTAATGGGGTTCACGACGTAGTACAAAGAAAAACGTGGATAAAATACACATTTCTGCTCTCTTAATTACTCTCGTATGCTCGGTGACTCGGTCCCCGTGATCACTTTATTTATAGACACTGATCCTTGTTGTAATTATGGGCTTATGTCAATCCTTAATCGCAGCTCAGCGTGGCCCTGCAGTGGTCACTGGTCAGTGCACCTAGTGGTGTGTGGTACAACTCGCCGATCTTGCGAGGCGAGAAGCATTATATTTATTTATATCACGTCGTGACCCCCACGGCCCCACGGTCGTTTGTCTATAGTGTCCTGACGATACAGGGGACGATACAGGCGGGTCATACAACGTATATATATATATATATATAGTGCCAAGGATTTAGTACAGTTTAAGGTGCATCCATCATGAGCAGACTGGGTGATCGCTTTGTATTGGCCAACTGTTCCACCACTTCAATTATTCAAGGTACCAAGTTGCTTAGTAAACAGTAAAGCAGCTCTAAACAATCAACTTGTAGACAGTGAGTCCCATGTAAATGAGCATATAGTTTATACTGTTTTAATGAGCGCATACCATTAGTTTAGCTCATTAATATTTGTGCTCTCGCCCAATATCCTGACCCAAAACTAGCCAACGTCTTGCTTCATCATAATTTGTGTTAGATTTGTACCAAATGCCAAATCCAAGGGGTATTTTGGAGTACTTTGGGGTTATTATGGGCGACTCTATTATGGGGGATTTCCAAAATCCGCTAAGGCATTCCCCAATATACCCCCAAAATACCTGTGCCTTGACTATGTATTTTTACTGTATACAGATAACATTCTATGTTGTTATATACTTGTCTTTGATGGCTACGATCACGTGACAATGAGTTATTAACCGTTTCTCCTCACAATGATGCTGGATTCTGAACCAAATCTGCGATAGAGTAGCACTAGCATACACTGGTTTTGCAGCAGTGGCGTAACTTAGGGCCCCGCAGACCCCGCTGTGCGGGGGGGGGGGGGGGGGGGGGCGCCGTATAAGGGGGGCGCAATTTTCCTGAATTTTAGGCCCTTTCACTGAAAAAACGCCTTGTTTGTGTATTTCCCTGTCCAATTTAGCGTTCGGCCGACGCGAAAAAAATATTTGGGGTACCCTTTTTTGCTTCAGGGGGGCGCAAAAAGCCTTAGGGGGGGGGGGGGGGGGGGGGGGGCGAGAAAAAAAGTACCCGACCTTTTTTTTTTTTTTTAAATTTTTTTTTAGGGACACAAAAAATTTTAGGGGGGGCGCTTTTTGTCACTGAGCGGAGGGGCGCCAACAGGCAAAGTTACGCCACTGTTTTGCAGAGTACCGTATCAAAATGGAACAGCGAGGTTTATTGAAAAAAATCGATCTTTTGTTTACTGTTCCACGTTTCCTAGCTTGTAAAGGTTTGGGTATATTAATATATACATGTATTTTTCTTAAGTCGCACAATACAATGATATTACTCCATTGCATTTTCAATATCCAGGCATGCCCATATTTGGTCCATTTTTGGTTGTGGACAAATTGTCACTCCCAAAAAGCTGGATCCAAGTTCTTGGCTCTTTGCCAAGGTCCTTTCAGTCAGTGTTCTTAGTGAAGAGTACGTTCATTGTAGCTTGTAAACTGTCTGCAGATTTTAAAGACCCGCTTATGTGTGAACCCCTCCCCCTTAAGACTCAGTTCGTGGATGACAAACGAAGAGGTGTACATAAATTTGTACTTAAGTCATTTTTAATACACCATAAACTGTTCGTGGAAGACACCCACTACCCAGGATGCTACGACTAAGCTTTGGCATAAAGCTTAGTCCTGCAACCAAACCGAATTAAAATTCGGTTTGGACGTTTGGAGGGAGTAAAATTACATTATAAATAAATGTGCAAAATCTATAAGTATAAATGAAGTTAGGACGAATACTGTATTCCCTGTATTACAGTCCGCTATGAAGAATGCATATATCCCTGAACAATCGCATATTATCCTCGATAACTCACTTTGTGAGTTTGTGCTAGGGTAAAGATAGGTCAAGAATCAATAGTTCCCACAGTCAGACAACGAATGAGTTTAAAAATTCCAACAAAATCTTTATAACATCATTGGTAAAACATTTTCGGTAAAGATAGGTAACTCTTAATTCTTCGTAGCTTTGCGTCCATCGTTATGATCGTACGATCTTTTATTGAATAAAGTTTACTTTAATTATAATTGGAGGGATTTCGATTGGGCGCAACTGTCGTATCTGATCAAGAAGTTTTTTAATTGGCTTTGACAGGGTGTAGGAAGGGGGGGGGGGGGGGGGGACAGGGGGACCATCGCCCCTCATAAAATCTGGGCAAGGGGCCAAAAAGGGCCAACTTTTAAAAAAAAGTCTTTCTGAAAACCACTTTTCTCCGCATTTCATGCTACCCTGTTCATTATTAGCCGAAAATATTTTTTCAAAGTCCGCACCCACCCCTCGATACACAATTTTGGACTCGAGGCTTGCCCTGGTAATTCGATCTCGGAAGGCAGGCCTCCCCTTTGCAACACGAGCTCGGAAACGGGAGCTCTCGATACGAGAGGTACGCATCGAGAATTACTTAGACCGAACATTTTCCAAGTACAAATTTTGTCAGTTTTTCTAAAAACCACTTTACTCCACGTTTCATGCTACTCTTAAAAGAAATATCCGGCAAAAATCCGGCAAAATGTTTGAAACCGGAACCGGATATTGAAACCGGATATCCGGCCGGATCCGGATTCAGCCGGATATCCGGTCGGTTCCTAGTCTAGATCTTGTAATTGTATCCAAGTACAACAGTCCTCGACATCACACTTCGTGCCACAATATACCTTAAAAACAGGATCTACAGGATGAACCACATAAAATTTGAATTAAAAAAAATCATCACCCGCCTCGTTAGCAAAATTTAACAAAATTTAACAAAATTTGCTGTCCACTTTTGTCTGCTCATTTCCGCCAATGTCCACCAATGTCCGCCAATGTCCGCCAATATCCTGCCCTTTTTGGATTCTTTGAGACAAGGGGACATAGACGAACGTGACACCCCCCCCCCCCCCCCCAGTAATATCTATTTAGCCTTTTCTTAACTTATTGTAAGATACACTTTGAATTGTGATGAAATTGTATTCAAAATTGTGATAATTTCAATTTCTTTAAATTTTCTTTGGCAAGATATCTGTCTTGTTAACATTATGTCTTTAATTTGTTTAAACAGCTTGTCTTTGAAGACATGTCTTTGCTGACGTGTTTATTCTAGAGATCCCTTAAAGGGTCTCTATTGTATAATAACTTCTTATTGACTTCTCGATTGCTCCGTATTTAAATTCTGTTTCATTTTGTAGGTTACTACATTTGGAGCTCTCACTTCTCGACCGATCCTCGACTTATTTGTCGAGCATTTCCTTCCTGATATGATGTTTCGGACAGCAATTTTGACGGCTCTTTGTTTAGCAAGCATCTTTGCTGAAGAGAAACAGATAACCCTTGTTGTGTTCACTGATCTAAACTCAGGCCGCAACAACGAAGCTTATAATAATAAAACTACTCTGACGACATCTAAGGTTGATGACGACCTGGAAGGAATGATGTATGAGGCAGGTATATGGTAAGATTTTAAATCATTAATTTTTGTACTTTAGCGATTAAAATTTAAACGATTAAAACAATTCGACCAAACTTTAAAACCTAAGGTCCTAGCGTTAGAAAAATAATCATGAAAATAATCACGAACTAGCGAATTGCAAACATTATATTATTTACAAATGCTGAAGCTACTTCAAAATCAGGTTCGACTATTCTGGATCGGAGTTACTCGAACTTGAGATGGAAGATGGAACCAGAATAAAGGCAGACTCTGAGCAGAATGAGTACTGGGAGATACTTCTACTAACCGGGGAGAAGAGGGAGCCGTTGGAACTCGGGCTAGATTACGTGCCGGTTAACGGTGATAAAGTGCTCATCAGATTGGAAAATGGGGAAGGTGGAGACGTTTATGCAAGTGGCGCTGTGGTCGCTGATCCAAGGGTTTGGTTCCTCACATTTTCTGTGATGGGTTCCTTAATGGGTTCCTTAACACGCTGGATAAACTAAAAATGATGCTCACGAAATCTCTGGTGTATCTGGACGAGATAGTGTTTATAAAACAAACAAACATTTGTAATTTAAATTAGGAGGAACCTATTTTGATATGGACGATGGACGATATGGACGATGGACATTTATTTCTCTGCGTGCAAAAAAACAATCTTTTTCAAAGGTTTTCTGTGATGGATTTTTTCTGTGATGGGCTTTTCTGTGATGACATTTATTTCTCTGCGTGCACAAAACAATATTTTTTCTATTAAAGTTGAAAATACGAAAATTAAAATACAAAAAGTTTGTATCTTTTGTATTATGAATTTTTATGAAAAGTCGCCTTAAAACTGGCCCAAATTACGGTAATATTATATGTATTCTCCCCTCTGTTAAAGGAACCTAGCTGTAACTAACTAACCTAACTATAACGCTAACCTGTAGAGGTTCCCACACATATCTTTAGCCCGCTGGGTCTACTGAACATACACATCGACTGAACGTCACTGATCTGGAAATCCTGAAAAACGACGATTAATGATCTTCAATCGAGTAGTCAGCGTTGTTGGTTTGAAAAATATCTTATGCTGATCGAATAAAATATATTTCTGGACTTTAAATATTAACATAAATACAAAATTTTATACTTTGGGGGATGACTGAAGAGAAAGTGACAATAAAAGACGAAAATGAAACTAAGATAAAAGTGAAAGTAAATGAAAGTGAAAGTGAAACTAACGTTTTTGCACTGAAACCAGCCCTGTCCTTGTCCAGGTATCCTGATCCACTCATATAGCTGGATCATCTTGTGTTTAACAACGGACATGTAGAGTTTACTAGCAATAGTCAGGTAGCAACACACTAACGAACAGCCTGTGAGAGGTCATTAATTGAGTTAATTGTGTTAATTATGTTATACCGAAGGAAAGAAAATGAATAAATAATAAATTAGACAAGATATTTGTCAGTTTTCGCTCTCTTCAGTGGGTTGATCATGGGTTAACCTGAAGGGATACTCTCATTTCGTCCTTCGTAAAATCAAAATAGTCCGGGGCTAAAATAGTTTACCCTTGGTTGCCTGGATTTTCTCTTGTTTTGTTTTCTTTCTTCCAATGTTTTTAGTGCATTGAGATTTCATCGTAAGAGCTGACAGGTCGAACGTGTATATACAGCCAGTCTTATTTTTACCTGGAAAACAAAAAATGTGAACCAGAAAACAGCTGCAGCAGTAAAAGTTGATATTACGACTAAATAATATAACGACCAACTCTCTCAGCATCTATCATTAAAAACAAGAGTTCACCTTTCTCAGCTCTTACAATAGCAATACTCTTCTCCTCCACAACTAGTATCTGTTTAGGTACAAAGAGACTGTCGTATATCTCAGTCACATCAGCTGTCAGTGTGTTTATTAGAGACAACCCGTTATCTGACCCCATCACCACAAACGTGTCTGAAATTTAATTTCTTATCAACATATCTGAATTATCATAAAAATGTTTACTCTAGCATTAGGAGAATTTAGGAAAACCACGCGATTTAATTTCACGGGAAATTAGGAAACACATAGGAGGAAGATAACCATTGATAGGACCAAAAAAAGATTTGGAAACTTAAACGGTAAACATCTTGCAACAAGTAACTCTCCATTTACGCGGAAGTCAGGAAATATTTATGCGTCAGCTAACTACATACCCCAGAAGTCAGGAAATATTTACAAGTCAGCTAACTACATACCCCAGAAGTCAGGAAATATTTACAAGTCAGCTAACTACATACCCCAGAAGTCAGGAAATATTTACAAGTCAGCTAACTACATACCCCAGAAGTCAGGAAATATTTACAAGTCAGCTAACTACATACCCCAGAAGTCAGGAAATATTTACAAGTCAGCTAACTACATACCCCAGAAGTCAGGAAATATTTACAAGTCAGCTAACTACATACCCCAGAAGTCAGGAAATATTTACAAGTCAGCTAACTACATACCCCAGAAGTCAGGAAATATTTACAAGTCAGCTAACTACATACCCCAGAAGTCAGGAAATATTTACAAGTCAGCTAACTACATACCCCAGAAATCAGGAAATATTTACAAGCCAGCTAACTACATACCCCAGAAATCTGCGCAGTGTATTTTCTGGGGAATATCGCCCAACACGCGGTCACATCTCCAGTTTGAGAAGTGGGCTAGTTTCCTCTGGAGGGATAATGACGTGCAGTTTTTACTGGTGGGGGCGTGTCCTGAGATTATCTTCTGGAACTTCAAGTCCTGAAATGTGGACATCATTTCGGATGGATTATTCTCAACTATGGATGAATTTAGAAACAATAGGTTAATTTCTTTGCTCTAAGCGTTAAAAAGGACCAGTGAATACCACCAAGCGAGCAAAAACAACCATCTCACAAAAAGTGGATATCCACTCTCATGATCTCAACTTGAAAACTAACCTGCCCCTTCTCTGTAAAGCGAGCTGCTTTCTTAAACCGCTTTTTCCTCCCAATACGAGGCGTAGTCTCTATTATACGATCTGTAAGATCTGCGAATGGTCTGAGATGGTGGTCGAGCTCGCCCTGCTCATCACATCTCACGTATCTCTTGTAGATCTCACGAAGTAGCTGGAAATATTACTTTTAAGAAGTTTGCTCTTTCAACTTTGGCAAGAAGTTTATAGTTGTATTAATTTACTTCACATTGGTTGAGCTGCCAGATGCAGACAGATTTATTCCAATGTGAAGAATCTACGTTACCTGATCAATAGTGCGTTCCCTCCTAGCAACAAACTGCGGAGTCTCATACACAGCCTTCTCCCCGTTCATCAGCTTCACCAGTAACACTCTTCTAAAGTGGTCATGGTCCGTGTACTCTCCAGAAATCTCAGGTCCGTAGGGCGGGACCGCCTCCTCGTTAAAAACGCGCAGCAGATAGGCATCTTGTTCCGTCTTGTAGGTTACTGACGCGTAAATGTGACTCATTTGGGAGAGGAAACAGGTAGGGTCGAACTCGTCGTCTTCTTCTTGGAACACGATGTTTACTATGTCGTTACCTATGTGCCTCTTTCTCTCCACCTGTGAAATATCGATTGTTAATTTTGTGTTGGAGTCATAAAAGGAAAGAGTGTTGCGCTTGTAATGACAGAGTGTTGTGATGAAAGGTCTATATGTTGTGTTCAACTATTCGTCAACTGTAACTGTTCATTGTGAAAATGATCGTTGGGATTTCGTATTTAGTATTTACAATCGTAATTGGATATTCAAAACTTCTACTGTGACTTGAGAAAATCGATTACCAAAGCTATCGTTAGCTTTGATTGGAAAAATCATGAGTTTTGAAAAAAGATCGTGCCTGCTGAGGGTTATCTTTAGAGAAAGGGAGCATGTTAGCAACGTGGAACATAATGTGTTTCCCTTCCATCACCGTTCTGTAGGTGTGTGTTCCTGTTGTATCTCCTGAATTGGGGCGTTAGTTTGTTAAGGGAGACAAATATTATGTTTCTAGAATGGTCATATTTTGCTGTAACGATGACAAATTAGTGCGAAGCAGAGTTAGGAATTTAGGAACTAGAAATAATAAACCGCATCAACAGTGACAACACTCAACAAGCGTGTACGTACCAAGAAAATAGTGATTCTATAAGTTTGCGCGCACATGATAGAACGCGCGCACACGATAAAACAACGTGGGGACTACATAAAATTACTTCGCGCGTTCCATTTAAAATCCTGTTCCTCAATTTGGAACGCTTCGTTAATCTTAAATATGTTAAACCGGCTTAACACGGGCGGAAATAGCTACAAACATCCTAAACATTCGCCTCACGTCAATGACATCCCGCTAAACTAAGAAATTACAGGGAGCTGACACGGCGGAACGTCTGAAAGGCAGAGAAGGTATCATTAACTTACAAAGAAAATATTTTCGAATGTAAGCGGACACCTGCTGGACGCAGGTTACACTACAGCACATAATATTATATGTACATGATATCACACTGGCTGCGCTCCAACATAACTACTGCTATGCAACTCCGCAACTTTACCAGTATATTCAACTATCCAATACACTGTGTGTTTAGGCTTCAGGAGTAGTGGATATCGTGTAAATACACACACACACACGTAAACACACACACACACACACACGTACAAAAGACTTTTTAAGAATAATGCAATTATCATACCATGCCTATATTACTGATACAAATGTAGGTGTTATATATATAACTAATGAAGAGAAGGTATGTATGCGATGTTGTTGTAAATGCTAGTTATAACAACACATACAGATGTCCAACTTTGATTAGTTATGCAGAATACTAGAACACCGAAATGTTTTGAGATTTTTTCCTTTTCACCCTTTTGAAAAAAGGCAATAGTGAAAGGTTACGAATGGACGATTTTGCAGAAAAACGTGGATTTTGGAAAACGAGATAGGTGGGTTTAAATATGTCGTGTGTCCTTCCTTCCTTCCGTTCGTTACCATGCAACGAAAAAGTTGGGCGCGCGCGAGGATTGCTTGCGGAGATGTGATGTTTAGATAGCCTGTGATCTATGAATGCGCGGCGCGACTGTGTTTTAATGTATATGATGCATGTAATGTATAATATTACTATTGGGTAATGCGCCCAATTTGTACGTGGCACGCGTAGTGTATTGAGTATAGTTTACCTTTGCTGATAATTTCTTGAATTACAGATACAAGTTAAGTTCTACGGCAATTGAACTGAATTTGAAGTGTTTCCCGTATTTGATGCATAATTTATCAATATTATTACCATGAAGATTGAAGTGAGCTGATTGGAGCTTATACTTAAATTTATAGTAAATGTGAAATGGAAATCTAGCGTCCGCCAAAACGAAACAACGGGCGCAATTCTTGTTCTGGGTTAGACTTGATCGTTGTTTTGAAATTATTGATACAACATTTTAAAACTAATGAAGGGGCAATGCGGTTGTATATGTCTTTGGAAATTTCTCCGTTTTTAATAACCGAAGATCAACAGAAACTGAAATTTTCTAAAAATGTTGAAGCTGACGCAAAATTTGATCACACTTAGAAGTGAAAGCGAAAGTTAAGATAAGTGTGAAAGCGAAAGTGAAAGACATTACCTTTGACGTCTAAACCTCCTCGGTACTCGTTAAAACCTTTAAGAGCCACTTTCTCCCCGATCAAGTTTAGAAACTTCTCGAATGAAGGTGTAATATCGTCTGAAAATTGGAAAACTTCACTTCTTAGAAAAATACGAAAATTACATGATCTATACGAAATATCCCCAGAAAATACGATATCAACACGATACCAGCTTGTGGCAGGTCTAGACGGCTGACTTGCTGCCTAACGGGTAACGGTTGATGACCGAAGTGGGAGTTTCAAACTTTCACAGTAAATAAACAGAACGTTGAAAAAACATGAACCTGAATTGTACTGATACTTGGTAGCAATGTTATTTATGTAGTCCAGTGTAAAGCATGTGACTGTGGTTTTATGTCGGGAAGACTTGGTTACCTCTGAATATTAGAATGAACAACCATAGAGGTCGTTATATTAATGACATTTTCTTTTGTTCTCATTGAATATTTTGTAATATGATTTCTGCTATAATTTATTGGCATTATACCAATCCGCTAGTTGATACTCCCTTGTGGATGGCCGTGAAAAGCCGAAACTATTCGAGTAACAAGCGGGACACCTCGAGAGACATTGTTTTTATGTGTTCGTGAATCGTGATGACCATCAATCTTAAGATTCTATGGTGACTGCGGCTCATATCTCAATACCATTATTACTGACTAAAGGTATCAACAATACTTGATGTGATTTCTTTGTTAGTCTTAATGGAGGCGCCTCCTATATCTTTGTGGTGGCCTACAACTCTTGGTACCACTTATAACTATCTATATTCTATTAGACAGAAGACGTTTCTAGTTTAATTACATAACATTTTCAAAAGTACCACAAAGAATTGTGGTAATATTTGTGTCAGAATAATGTGATTTGCAGGTGATAAATTCTGACGTTATAAATTCAGAACATTTGAACACTACTTATAAGATGTGAGTCGAGTGTACGCTTTAGGAGTGTAGAGTAGTAGAGTTTAGAGTGTAGAGTGTAGAGTGTAGAGTATAAAATAATTGGTTATTATCCGTACATTATTACACGTATAATAAACAAAATAACACGAATATCAAACATGTTAAAGTGTTAATTCTATTACTCACTCTAATCCTCAACTTTACACTCTAGAGCGCGTGTGTAAGCAGTTAGTTAGTCAGTTAGACCAACACAGCCTGTAATTATACGTACTAGCTGCTTTGCGCCTAATTTTCAGTCCACGCACCTGTCACGTGGTGTAGAGACTGGCTTGTGATTGGCTGTTGCCATGGTCACGTGCTGGCTGACAGCCAATAAAACCACCTTGTTTGCTAGTCAGTATGTCAGCAAGACATCACGTGATACCGTGCTGCAAATTGTTTTTTCCTCAACGCAACAATTTCAAAACCAAGACCGCAGCTAACAAGGTTGGTTGAAACCCTTTAGCCCCCACCCCCCCCAAACGGCAAAAAGCGGGCATTTTTTATATACCCTTTTAAATTAAATCATCTTTTATTACATAAAATTTTTAAACCAAAACATCAAACCAAAAAATTTACAAATTAAAACACCACCAAAACCAAAAAATTTTTCATTAAAAATCAAAATTAAAAAAAATTTCCCCTTTTAAAAAAAAATTAAATTTTTTATTTTTTAAAACAACTTAAACACCACCACAAACCTTTTAAAAAAAAAATTTTTAAATTTTTTCTAAAAAAATCCACTTAAAACAAAAAATTCTTAAATTAAAATTACAAAAATTTTAAATTTTTTTTGGGCCCCCTTTGCAGGAAGTACAAAACATTGGTAAGGGTTTTGTTAGACAACTGGGCTGTAAAATTTTTAAAAAACCGATTTCTTTTTTATTGTCAAAACCCCATAACCCTGTGTTGGAGACTGATAGTATATATTAGTTAAAATTATTTTAAATTATAATTATTAATTAATTAATTAGAAGAAACTTTTTTATTTGACGGGGTTAGTTTTTTAGATTCAGAAACTTTGTAATGTGGAAACCGGAAACCAAACCGTGAGGTCTAAACTAAATAAAATTTGGGAAAGTTATGTACCTTGGTTTAGAAAACCACCACCAAATTTAAAAGATTTTTATTTTTTCCATAGGGAGGTAAAAAAAGGAAAAAAAATTAAAAAAACCGTTTTAATTAATTCCTTTTCTGACAATGAGTAAAAAACTCAAAGTGATAATGGAACAAATACACGCCACTTACACAATAAGTTATCCTTATTTTTCTCCCCTTGTGCCCCTCACACACATTAGATGGATAACATTTCACTGGGTTTACTGTAACATATTATCCCCTCCAAACATTACATTCTTGCATGCGACCACCGAAACGCAAAAATTCGCTAATTCTGTATTTCAGCCATCATGTAGTGCCAAAGCACAAGTTTTGGCAACCCGTTTCAAGTGGGTCCAACCCCAAAACCTGACAGATGGTTATATCAAGTTCCATATGATCAAAAACATTTTCATTTTAATCAAATTCGTTTTAATTTAAAACACTACCCGCCATGAGAAAAGGGTTGATAATTCCTAAATTCCTTAAACCAATTTTTCATGCCTGATTGATGCTCCTTGCAAATTGAGATTGTAAGTCCCAAAATTGTTCTATTTTTTAATAGGATTACAAATAAGGGGTGCGGGTAGAAATTTATTGAGTGTTCTCTACTCCCACCGTAACATACACAAAATGAGCTGCATTTTTATACCTTCAAGGAAGCAAAAACAAAACAGAGAGGGGTAGTAGAAACAGCTCCCCATGCCATAAGTCTAAATGTTTTTCAGAGATTCAAATAAAGGAGATATCTGTACGAAAGACCGCTGAACTTTTACTAACCCCCCCCCCCCCCCCCCGGGCCCCCCCTTTCCCCTCCCCCCCCTTACTATTTTTTAGTGGAAAGGGGGGGTTTGATAATTGCGATAGCAAAGGTTAAGGGAGTACCACATTGTTACTACTACTACTAAAATGGAAAAAGGGGAATGTTGGTTATTTTCGAAGGAGGGGATTTTGGGGGGTACCCGGTTATCTTATTTAGTCCCTGCTAATTTGCCTCGTTACATAAAAGACTGTTTTGAACCCCCCCCCTGGGGCGGTACCCGTGTTTACCACTGTTTACCACTTAAACCCACGGGGGACGGATAGAAATTAAATTATTTATTGAAAGTAAATTTAAGCGAGTATGTAAATCTTATTTTCTTCCAAAATCTCTGTTTACCCTGGTCAAAAAATTTGCACATAATGTGCACTATATTCCCTTATGCACAAGTACACAGTAAAGGGGCTGCTCCAGGGGGGGCCCTGATCCATTTATTTTTTAACTACAGACTTTTATTTTATTACTGGGGGTTTTTTGAATGGACTCCCAATATGCGTATAAAATCAGGGATTCATGCTTTTAAAATTAGGGATCTATTAACTCCTCTATTAAATAGTGGTAAGAGCACAAAGGAGGAGTAGGAGGCACCAAGAAGGAGGAGAAGGGAGAGGTTTAGCTAATAATAATAATAACCACTAAAACCTTTGAAGCAAGATTACAACATTTCCCCTGAGATTGTCAACATTGAACACAGTGTTATCATGGTTATTCAGACTCCTCTTCAGAGAAAGCTAGATTACTGTTGTAACCAGATTCCAGAATGTCCCTCACACGGATCTTCCAACAAAAAAACATGGCTTTGTGAATTAAGGCTTAATAGTGTGGAAATACAGAAGAGGAATTGAAGATTCACCGTTCACATGCCAACTAAAACTAAGTATTAGTTTTCCTATTTTTAGTTCTCACTTGTATATTGGTTTTTTTCCTATTTAAAAAAAAAAGTTCTCACTTGTATATTCGTTTTTTTCTTCTTTTTTCCACTACTCTAATATTGATAGGTGTCATTATATTAGCGACGTGTCATTATATTATATGTATGTGTTATTCAGTAATTCAGAGACAAAAAACATAACATTTTCATCATTTATTACTTATAACCTTTATACAGTTTTGCAGAGAAGGATAGTAAAGATCAACATGTACAATAGATATAATTGTAAGAAGTTACAGGTAACAAAAGAGCGTTTAATTCCCTTCCCTCCGGAAGAAACACACACAACACACGTTTTCTCTTCTCTTCACAACACAGATTGTGTGTAATGTGTGATAAAAATTACTCCTTCATAATACATATCTTTAGCTGAGTATGTTTGTAGCGGGGGATGCAGTGTGTTATGAGCTACACAAACTGTAAGTATAGTAGAAGAACCGTCAGTCACCCTGTATCACGCTTATATTACCATGTGTTGTTTTTACACTCATATCTTGTTCATACTATCCTATATTGGGATCGGCACATGGTTCTGCAGGGGCATCCTAAACGTGCTTTTTTGGGTTGCTACTCAAAAAGAGGGAGTAGGACAAATACATTAGCCAAAATACATAGTACATACAGGTTTTGGATGAGGAAGGATGGGAATTAAACGTTGTGAAGCGAAATCAGGTGAGAAGTTGAGCTGTTCTCTGGATCAGTGGACTTACATTTAATAGATATTTACATATTTGGATATGGCTCAATATTTAAATATGCTAATAATTAGATATGCTAAACAGACTTGTATCATGCAATTAAAGTTGTATGTAAGCAGCCTGTGTGTTAGACTGATAATTAATACTTTAGACCGCACCTAATTTAACTAACTGACACGTTTCCGGTAAGTTTAAGATTACAGATAGCTTTCATCAGCTCCGAGCGTAGTACACACCAATTTGGTACACCCACATTTTGGGTGGTTAGTAGAAGGACATCATGTTCAAATTTGTAATCTTCAGGAGATGCTAGGTTAATGAATCTAGGAATTTCGACGTTTCTTGGAAAATATTTCAATTTTAAAACTGTTGACATATGCAATATACAGTGTATAGACTTGGACACTGTAAGGGGGAGGTAGCCAGATTTTTTCTGACACGTGACAGCCATTAACAAATCAGCTTCCAGCAGTGACCAATCAAATCTTTGAATTACTGTCATGTGTCAAAACAAATATTGAAACCCCTCCCCAAACCCGGGTTTCCAATTCTACATTAATTAAAGTAGTTTAAAAATTTCCCTGGGAAATGGAATACAATTTTCATTTTACTTACACTTACAGAAGACTACAGAAAACAAAAGGTTTACATCTTTTCGGAGTATATTTTTGGTTGCGGTTTTGGAGAGTGAAGGGGAAAAGGAGGTTGAAATCATCTCTACCCCATTCACTGGGGCATTTTATCGGGGCAGTTATTGGGACAGGAACTGGGGCTTTATCGGGGCGGGTTTCTGGGACGTTTATCGGCGGTTATCTGGGACATTTATCAAAACAGGAAATCGGGGGCATTACGGGGGAGGTTCTGGGGCAGGTTTTTGGGGGTAGGTTATCGGGGGCAGGTTATCGGGGAGGTTACGGGGGCAGTTCTGGCAGGTTTTATCAGGAAAGGGTTATAACTATTTTTTTGGAAAATCCTCACCCTTATACAACAAATGACTTTTTTTTTCACCTACATTCATACGAATGTTCAGATTAACAATTAACATGTATTGTATTGAAGTGTGCACAGTGAACAGTGTATTGTCTCGTATCATGTGGACCGTATCTCTGTTTAGCTAATTTATTCGTTACGTTATATTTTCTAGGAGCCGCCAAAGCTCCAAAGGAAAATTTAGCAAAGAAATATTTCATTTTTTGTTACCATCTAAATTAGTACAGAAGAGCAACACTAATTTGAATACCAATCACAAAAGTGAGGCGCTGTTCCTCCAACTCTTCTTGTACAAATATAATTGTATCAGCTGGTTTGTTACTTATTACTTTATTACAACTACTGGGTATTTTATTTACTGCTCCTTATAAGGACAGTTTTACAGGGAGCCTGCTAACACTTTGAATTTACTTCAGATTATTCAGAATAATGAACAAATAGAATATCTGCTAAGAAAGCACAGAGAATTACTAAGAAAACAATATGATTGAATTATTATTATGAAAAGTAACGCCGTAACAGAGAGGCAAAATCATGACACAGATTATATAACATATAATATTATGATAAAATGTTTTAATACCATTTAGATGACCACCTCACTCTTTAACATACGTATTACGTTCGACAACTAAACTAGTTACATAACATAATTATGTCTAGAAGTTTCCAGAGAAACCACTTTTCTCTCAAATTTTTAAAATTTCTACATTTTCAGTTCCCCAGCTCATTAAAAGTTCAACACGGAATCTCGGAATTTTAAAGATTTTCAGTAATTAACACTTATCAAGAGTAAAGTGATATGAGTGCTGTGTGAATATTATCATAACTGAAAATATGTAAGTAAATTTATACACATTATACTAGGGGATGAGGTTTCGTTAACCTAAAGCTCGTGATGCAGGTGAAATATAAGAGTAATCGCTGAAAAAGAAGAAGAGATCTGAACCGTATAAGTACACGGGCTCATTCTTCACATCAAATGTTTACAGTTTCACATCGGGCAGTGCAACCTTCACATTTGTAAGCTCTAATATTTTGATGATCTTTAAACACTGGCCTCTGAACAATAAATTATCAATGATGTATATTCTGAAGTCTGAACCTTTCAAATAGCCATTACAATCTGAAGTCTGAACCTTTCAAATAGCCATTACAATCTGAAGTCTAAACCTTTCAAATAGCCATTACAATTGAGAGCTATTTTTAAATATTTCCCGCGTACCCCTTCTAAATTTAATTTCTTCAACATCCCTTGTTTTTCAACTGTTCAAGGGGTTTTTAAACATGGAAACATTTAAACACCCCTTGATCCTGTCTACCCCTTTCCCCCAAATACAACCCGTCTCTATTTAAACTGTCGTCAGCTATCGAAAAAGTGGGCAAATTACATACCGCTTAACTTCCTTCATGTTATAAGCAGCAATTGGCCATTTGGAACTTTTCAATTATTTAATTCTTTTTCATTGTCTAGGATTAAGGGGGCGAATTACAAAATGTATAACTTATTTCTTTAGGCATAAAAAAAAGGTTTGTCCCCTCATTTGCGTATGCTATCCGCTGAAACGATTTGTAATAGCACAATTTAAACAAGTCGCTCCTAAATAAGGAGTGGGATGGTGCTACCGGCTTAGTCATCCCTCAACTTCCCGTGTACTTATAAGGAGCCGGAAGTGCTACCCCGCCCCCAAATATTAAGGGTTAGAGTGCTAGATTCACCCCAAGTATTGCATAAGTTGTCGTGGAACTCGTGAGAATGAAACTGGTGAGTCTGTGAAACTGGTGGGTCTGTGGAGCTGGTGAGTCTGTGAAACTGGTGAGTCTGTGAAACTGGTGAGTCTGTGAACTGGTGAGTCTGTGAAACTGGTGAGTCTGTGAAACTGGTGAGTCTGTGAAACTGGTGAGTCTGTGAACTGGTGAGTCTGTGAAACTGGTGAGTCTGTGAAACTGGTGAGTCTGTGAAACTGGTGGGTCTGTGGAACTGGTGAGTCTGTGAAAAATCTTTAAACCGGACTATAATACTCTAACAGGTAGCAGATCTATTTAAATTTTAATAATAATGAAATAATTATACGGTACTTTTATAATGCTCATTAAATCTACGTAGGTCAGTTGTTAACTTTCAGGCGGCAGTGTCAGAGGGAATTTGAAGTGACATACGACACATCCCCTCTCTAAAAATAGAACACTTAAAACAGCAGTTTTAACCTTAAACGATGTGTGCTAATTCCTAACTTCCTTAGTTACAACTCACTGTTGCAGAGTATTTCGTTATCTGTGCTTTGTCCCTTCTTTCTGTACAGCACCCCAAACTTGAAGTTGATAGCTCCCTGTGAGATTTTAAGATTTGATATTACAAAATATTTGGTAGCTAATCATCAGCTCTTTTCTTTGAAGATGTTATTTTTAAATGTTATTTCTGTTGCTTCGTTAGTATTGGCAATCGAATTTCGTGCAGTGCAGTTCGATGAGTCTTAATATTATCAATTTCATTTCGAGGATCCAACACCTTTATTTGCAAGCCAAGTTTCTTTTAGATGCCAGAAAGTGCTATTAACACCTTTTTAACTACTAAACAAACTATTCCCCAAATGCCGACATCAACAGTAAAAAAGTTCGAAGTACATAACCACACAAATACCACACAAATACCAGCCCTCAAACGAACCTCTTGCTCCTCGATGTAGAGCAGATCTCTTTGTATCTCTGCTTCTTTGATCTCACGGGGGGCCCGCACCACGTTTATATCACCAAACTCTCTGTAAAACACTTGATTTAGTTTACTCGAAATCTTAATGCGAGGAGGCTGTTTGATTTAATACAACAGTCACAGTCATTGTCTTTTAATTAAATTTATATTATACGTGAAGATTCTCTTTTGTAACTCATTATAATGTGACACATTAGGGTAACACATTGAATCAAACACAGGGTAGGTTTCTAATTGCATCTCCTCACTTACTGGCATATTGACTGGGGACTCCGGGTTTTCTGCAAGTTTACGGGCAAATAAATTCTTTGTAGCCCCTGTTGAAATGTTTTGTAAAGGAGTAGCATGACATTCATTAATATTATATAAGCTCTGTTTTATAGGGAGTTAATATAATTGCAGAAGTGAAACAATTTGAATTTCACACAATTTTACAAATAGGTATATTAAATATTTGCCAGTTCATGCCAAGAAAGGGTAAATGATCATCCCACAGAGATCTGATATCTGCTTTTGATAGTGTATTAATGGCTAATGCACCAACTAAAGAGCAGTGTTTAAAACATTATCGAGTAAACTTCTGCAGAACATACAGTTTTAGCCCAGAGAATTGCTCTGTAGTGTTCATCTGATTTTACAACAGATAGAATGAACATGTTCTTCTCTGCTGTCTTGCCATAGTAGTTCTGATGAGCTGAAAAGTTACTTTCTTATTATAAGATTAGCAAAAGTTTCATGCATTACATAGAAACTCAACTAATGATTATCATAATAAGTGGAAGCTCAAGTATACTGCAAGTAAAGGATATAAGGATAGAAATGAAGTAATCACCTGTTCCAAGAAAATACTTGAAGTACCATCGGAGATGTGATTCTGGATTCTCAAGATGTATGGCACTGTGAGTTGACCCAACACTTCCTCGCCCACTAGCCTGGTAATATTGTATACATAATAAATATATGATTAGTAAACCCTGTCATTAATCAGATATATAACTCTTTAAAAGCAAGGATAAACCACATAAACCTGAAAGAAAAATATGAAAGAATCTCACCCTTCCGTTTTCTTCCCAAAACTTCATAATTCAACTTCATCACCAAACTAAGTACTTCACATTCTAAAATGATAAAAGCTTGTTGTTAAAAAAGAATATTTAGGTCTAATAAGGTACTAGTAGACCATGGATTTTTTAGCCAAACCTCTTCTTTACTTAGCAACGTTTGTTACTGTGAGGGTCTCACCCACATCCAAAAAGTTTTCCTCCCAGTCAAATATCTACCCCTGTAGCCAGACTGCCGGACTGCCGTGTTTCTGGATGTGGATTGTGGGGTTTCAAGGCTACAGATCTTCTTGAATCTTGATTGATGATCCAGTCAATGAGAACATGGGCAAATATAAATTTTCACTCCAAAAGTGTCTTAGGAACAATTCACAGGAAAGAGCGACCAATCGAAATGAGCTTATAATGTGCTGTTGCATTTCTGCAATGCTACAAACCAGCAATTCATGACCAAAGACCATTATCTCGGCAGATTACCACGTCTTGCAACAACAACAACAAGTTATCACATGCCAGACAGACATCTTGACTTAAAACAATGAGATAAGATCTACATTCCCATAACTATGGTTAGGGTCAAACGTTTTACATAACTTAACATAAATTACAATATTTAAAACTATAATTACTTTTTTAAATCAGGAAAAACATACGTAGAACAATTGCTCTTCCTAACAAGAAATGCGGCCGCTTTTCTTTTGTGGATGGCCGCTCAATTTCCCGATCCGTGATGGCGTATTTATCATATTCCATACAACCTGGGGACGGCCCAGTCTTTACTGTTTATATAAAACATGCAAATATGGCGAAGTGACATGCCGACTGCCGAGCGCCGCCCAGTTAATATAATTCTATATTGAATTTGAAATCGTGTATACTTCTAAGCTCTGTAACCATATGTTTATTGTTTATGCAACCTGACACGGATCTGTGCAAAATAGTAATACTAACTCAAATAATAATAATATGCTATCAATTAGTGCCTAGTGGGATACGTACATGATGAAATTAATATGTACTTGGTTGGTTCGGCGCCGCGCGCCAACAATTATATAATTCAGATTATCACGCAAATAAACTTTGCGCAGGTAGTCACTACGTGGGCGATAACGAGCTCGCAGGCACGTACGCACGCACGCACGCTCGCAGGGCACGGTCGCAAAGCTACCATATATCAAAAAAAAAAACCTCGATCGCTAACCCTTGGTCCTTGACTCTTTTGTGCCTTCGGCACGAGTCATGGATCGGGAAAAAATATTTTCAGAAAGTTCTTTATCATTATTATCAGAAGGCAAGTTGATAATGCATTGACTTTTAATACTATCGATAATTGATAAATAACATAAGAGGGTGAATCTTGGCAAATGAATAAATTGTTAAGCTGGATTACAATCCCTCAACAGATTGAGATCACTCAACAGATTGAGTCACTTTAGTCACATTCATGTAGTATGCGGATTGTGGATTGTGGATAGGAACATTATTATTGAGTCTCATTGTTGTAGCATTTTAATTTCACTGCCATGATGCAATGCCGAACTTACATCAGCCGCGCAAAACTTGTTATCTATTATTATTAAACAGTAATTAGCATGTTTACAAATTGCGACTCCTATCAGTTTTGCAGACCGTTAGTTATATAGTACTTTTAGTACTGGCATTTATTATAATATATTTTATTTTACATTATTATATTTTAGTGTGACTTCTATAATTTCATTTATCATGTAATTACCATTGATTAATAAATTGCGGCACACGCCAGCCTCCACCGTGGGGTTTCAAAACAAAACAAAGGTTAGTCGCGTATGTACACACAAGGTTTTGGAGATTAAAAAGTTATAATATTGAATAGTCTTCTTCAATTATGCTCATCAACAGCTATCCCCAGCCATCCTGCCCATCTAATTGTAAACTTTCTATGAGGATAATTCTAGGTTTGTACATTTTGAATTATCTTCGTATGCATCTTCTCGCAACCATGTATATGCGAAGGATTGACATCGTGAATCAAATGTTATATCAGGTGTAGAGTTTAACTTACAAATTTGAAATTTTTGACGGCTGACGATGGTGAGTCGCTACATTTAATTTAGGACTCTCATAGTCTTGAGTGTCGGCGCTCAAAACCACCGCCCCGCCTTACATAACTTCGTGGTTGCGGGGCGGAGCCTGTGCCGTTTGTTTCGGCCTCGAATGACGAGTGCTTGCCCATCAAATACACGATTGAAACACTAATTATTTATTGACATTCTACAGTTCCAAAATGAAGTAAATTAACTTTGAGCTTTGTTTTGGCGACTGCTTCATCGATGGGCGGGTAGGTATTTGTTTGTTTAGCAGTGTTGAAGATTAAAGCAATTATATAATGTATATCTCCATCATAATATATGCTAGTGTAAACATATTATATAATCAATAATACAAACAAATAATATGAGTGATTAGTAAGTCGCTAGATCATAGATGTGATTTAAGCACATGGTTACGTCAATTATTATTAAAAATTAATTGCTCTAACCAGAGCCCTCTCGCTTGCAGTAGCGCGACCGCTTGTGAAACAAGCGTGCACGCAAAACACGTATACACATGGCTATGTGAAAAAATTAATGCACTTTTTGCTTTAAAACAATTAAATGTCACATCATTGTGATTGTAAATAAAAGATTTAGTTTATACTCTAGTACAGGCATAGTTGAGGGGTGCACTTTGTTATACGATTTTGGGCAACAAGGGGGTTTTTTGTTAGGTCATTCTAAACCAAATCTTTGGGACAAATTTTTTTCGCTAGAACAACCCCATAGGGGGAAATTTCTAAATACCCCCTCGGTATCGAGATTTTCGTTTTTCGGGGTCCCGAAGGTCATAAGACTTCATTTTTTTTTGGGGTTAAAAATACCGCAGTGGGCCACATTTATAACAACTTAATTAATAAAAGTATGGTCAAAATTTTTTGTTCCCCAATATCTGCAAAAAATTAATTTAACTCAGGCGTAGGCCAAATTTCTTAAATTTGTATCCGTTCTGAAAGGCTTAGAGCCAAAAACTTTTTTTCTTAAAAAAAGCCGCAATACATGTTTTATTGAATATAAAAGTCATAAAGGTCCAGAATGCTTGCTTTTGGAAAAAAATCCAGAAAAAGTTTTTCCCTTGGGGATGAAAAAAATCTACTCTAGAAGCTAATTGATATCGAGTGGTGCAGTTTGGTGTCTACAAATTTTCTAGAAAACCAGGTCCTTTGTAAGGTCATTCTGGATCAGAATTGATAAGGTACGCAATTTCTATCAGTAGTTCCAACCCTAGGGGGGAATTTTCTAAATTACCCTCTGGAGCAAATATATGACTTTTGTATCTCGCCTTCAGAACGTTGTAGGGGCCTCTCTTTTAGCTCAAACTAACTGCAAAAGCCACATTTACATACAAGCAATAAAGCAACATAGGGTTTATAGTGCTTAGCTTTGGAGATATTCATTAAAAACTGTTTTAAACTTTCGTGCATCCTAAAATAGTAACATCAAACATGTAATAATTTTGGTATCCTGGGCTAAAAAAAGTCTTACAGACCACTTTACTTGCAGTACAAGCAAAATGTTCAGCATGAACACATTCAGATAATATTTATGGAGCAACACAATTCAGTTTCAGAAGCTCCTTCCAGCTATCTTATCTTATCCCCAAATGTATACATCTAATCATCTCTCTGGCTACTTCAAACTACTTCAATCCCCAAATTTATACATGAACATCTAACTATCTCGTTATAAAGCAATGAAAGGCATTAGTTTGGTCAAATCAAATAGCTACTACAAGTTGGGCTCTCTCCAGTACTGTTTGACTATCATGGCTAATCAACTTCAATCCCACCTCATGAAGTAGAATCTACTTTCTAGCTACCTTTAATTCTGCTACCCCTCCATGCCATGCCTATTCTACCCAGCTACCACCCAGCACGTTTAATTTTAGCTCTTTCTAGCAACCTCTGAATGCTACCTCCTGCTCTATACAGGTACCACCAGTGGGCAGAAACCACCAATTCCAGCTCTTTTCCACCTACTTCGGCTACTCTATTTAGCTACTACTGCAAGGCCCCCTAGCCCCTCCAACCTCTGCTCTTTCTAGCAAACTTAACTTAAGCTACCTCTTGCCTTTTATAGCACCGCCAGCAACAATTTATTCTGGCTCTTTCCGGCTGCCTCAGCTGCATTCAACAATTCCCAGCTCATTGAGGAGAGGAAACCAGCTATTTCTAGCAACCTCTGAATGCTACTTCCTGCTCTATCTAGCTTCCACCAGCATCCACTTATTGGTGTTAAGCTACCACTAGCACCTGCAAATTCTAGTTCTATCCAGCAAACTCAGAATACCTTATGCTATATCCAGATAGCACAAGCACCCCTCAAATTCTAGCTGGAGCCTGGAGGTAGCATGAATTTATGTAAAAACAGATAGAATTTGAGAGTGCTCAACCAACTGAATATGGATGGATGTAGCCCGAAGTAGCTAGAAGAAGCTAAAATTTGTGGGTACCGTTTGCTAGTGTTAACTGGATAGAGCAGAAAGTAGTCTGAGGTTGCTTAATAGGGCTAGAATTTGCAAGTGCTGGCAATAGCTGAACAGAGTAGGAGTACGTCTGAGGTTGCTGGATAGGGCTACAATTTGCAGGTGCTAGTGGTAACCATTTAAACAACAATTATTGGTGTTGGTGGAAGCTAGATAAAGCAGGAAATAGCATTCAGAGATTGCTAGAAGGAGCTAGAGTGGAGGTAGCAGAATTGAAGGAAACTAGAAGTAGATTCTACTACATGAGGTTGGATTGGAGTTGATTAGCCATAATAGCCAAACAGTACTGGAGAGAGACCAACTTGTGTAAGACCCGGGATCCCGGCTTAATCCCGATCCCTAATCCCGGTCTTAATCCCGGTCCTGGCCACTTTTTCCCAATCCAGTCCCGGCCAAACAAGCGGTTCCGGTCGAGCCTTGGCTTTAACGAAATGGAAGCAACCAGGAAGATGGTCAGATGTATAAATTTGGGGATTGAAGTGGTTTGAAGTAGCCAGAGAGATGATT